ATTTCTTCGATCACAAATGCAGACATGGTTTTATAATTACGCGGCGCGATGCAACGCAACACATAAAAAGACAGTATAAGTCATTATAATCCGTAATTATGTCCCCACTGGATGCAACAAATGCCTCGTTTGTAATGGGTTTTATTGGTTTTGTCTCGTCGCGCCGGGACACGGCATCACAATATGGTAAGGGATTCGGTCAATCACAACGCACTGGATAGCTGGTCAATCAGAGCACACCTCGCTTTTCAGAACGATGAGCTTTGTAAAAATCGACACGTTTCAGAAAGGCGGGGCATAGAGGAGCAACAATAATGTACAGTATGTGGAAAATAATGTGTTTTTTTAACCTTAAACCGCATAAACACATTTCATTACACCAAATACACAAAATAATGTTCTTTTTTAGCAACGTCATATGACCCCTTTAAATAGAGTCATTTATCGTCACCTACTGGTGAAACGACGTAACCTACTGGTGAAACATAATTCCTTATTTCAAGTGTAATATATAATGTAAGCACACTTCGAGTACCTTACTGCTTTTATAAAACGGCTATCACACAATACAAATATTAAAACCAAAAATGTATGTATTGATATGTTACTTTTTTGAAGCAAATTCATTATATGCTATCCTTTCGCTAAAAAACAGTTCCTGACAGTGACAGTAAATGGCAAGAGAATGTTCCTAACATGCCTCACCTTATGAAGCTTAAATAAAAACAGAAAATAGGGACTGTTTTCATCCGCTGTCATTTTTTTTTTTTAACACCATATATGATATTTTCTTACATTCATCTGCTTATCTCTCAGCATGAGAAAACGTCTGTTTTCCGTGTTGTTTTAAAACAGACCGATACACGGCACAACGTGAGTTTGCAAGCATCATTACAGTGTAAATTGATGGACATACAGTACCATACCTGAAATTGAAAAATAATAAATACAGTAACATTCCCTCCGCACTTCGGAAACTGTGGGCTTCCACGCAGACACGCACACACATCCATCTTTCTCCCATATGAGAAGATTTTCTTTGATGGGGGAAGGGCGTGGCCTCAATATTAAAGGTGAATGATGCAAAATAATGCCAGCAGGGGTCATAATTCATTACATGAATATTAAACAGTTAATTTTGCTGAAATACATAATACATGGAACAGTTTTGACGCTAAATTTATTATGTTGCTAAGGGTGTTGCGCCATGATACACAGAATCTTATGATTTAACCAGTCTTTAGCAGAATCAACCAATAATAATGTCAAGCATTGTAAATATTAACTATTATTATTATTATTTGTTTATTCATTTTTTTCCCTCCAAACTTTTCTGCAGGCCCCCTTGTGGCCCCTTTGGTCCTCAGAACCCAGTTTGTCTGGAACACGGAAACACAGACCAGCAGAGTGATATAAACAGTGAAAAGTACCAGGGACATCGGATGATTATACCAGAACTCTAGGAACAATGCTCAACCAATCAGATCTGAGAAGCTGTTATCACTGAATTACTGAATGCACAACTGTTATACAGTCAATCACAAATTTAATCCACACTGCTACCACACTCTTTTTGGCTCTCTCGCTGTGTGTCTTGCTAAGGTGACGTCAATGATTGTGACATCACCTGTCGATACTTTAATTAAAAGAAGCAGCTCATTGGTGTCTAAGTCAATTCTGACAAGATAATGAGCTGCACCGGTCTCTTGTCACCAGCCCGCTGTTATGACACCACTGAAGCGTTTATCAGAGCTCTCAGACATCCCCACTGCAGGACCATATTATCTCGCTACAGAGATATAATCAATTTTCATTTTCAAAAGGTTAACTTTTTACTCATTGAAGCATAATCAACCCGTTTTTAAAAGAGGGTGCTGGCTGCAGTCCTACTGATCATTTTTCATGTTCTAGTCTTTGTGATCGAATTTGAAAGGAAATTACTCTCGCTGAAGCCTATTTTTATGAGTTCATGATGGATGTGAGAAAAGAGGGGAAAGGGAAGGTGAAAATAGGTGAGAAAAAGAGAGAGATGGAGAGAGGAAAGGTCCTGCAGGTCATCAGGCAACACTTTGAATCAGTTGCCGCCCACTAGCCACTTAAAACATAGATCGATAACAGCTCTGACCATCATTATACACACTCATCTGTGAACTCTTTTCTTTATCTCTCTCCGTTCATACAAATATTCACACAGAGGCTAAAAAATTTATAAAACGCATTAGCATTCAAAAGCTTGGAATACATAAGTTTTTTTTTTTTTTTATGAATTTGAAAGAAGTTCGTTATGCTCACCAAGGCTGCATCTGTTTAGAAAAAGTAAGTAAAAAAAGTAATACTATGAAATGTTGTTACTATTAAAATAACTCTTTTCTATTTGAATATATTTTAAAATGTAATTTATTCCTGTGAAGGTAAAGCTGAATTTTCAGCAGCCATTACTCCAGTCATTAGTGTCACTTGATCCGTCAGAAATCATAATATGCTGATTTGGTGCTCAGATGTTGTCAGTTATTTTTGGTGTTCAGTTATAGTTATTACTTTGTTGTTTTATCAAAAACTTATTCAATATTTATGTGGAAACCATGATAGATTTTTTTTCAAAATTCTTTGATGAATAGAAAATTTGTTTCAAATAAACATTTATTTGAAATATTAATTTTTTGTTTAATTATAATTGTCTTTACTGCTAGTTTTGATCAATAAAGGATTTCTTTCTTTCTTTCCT